AATAATAATAATAATAATAATAATAATAATAATAATAATAAACAGAGGGTTTTCACACCGAATTCGATCGATCAAAATATCTTAAAGATCGCTTTCACTAACTATTTTTCTTTGGTTCTTCTTTTCTTTAAACAGAGAATGCAGCATACCCTATAAAGAGTAAAGCAAAAAAAAAAGGAGGAGTAAGAGCAAACAGTGAATACTTTGCGTTTTCCCCACCCTCCTTTCATATCCTTCATCGATCTTGATTTATGTTCATTTGTTGTACTATCTCTCTCCCTCTCTTTCCTTAGTACGGCATCACAAAGATTGGCGACACAGGACCCAACTGGCCATCAGGTGAAGGGAGCATAATAGTATACACCGGTTGTTGTTGTTGTTGTTGTTGTTGTAGGAGCATCTGCTGCTGCTGGAGACGATCAGACCCAGGTAGTAAGAATACTGGTGCCCCCATCGGGTTAAAGCAAGATAAACTTTCAGGTGATAAAAAGGGTTGTTGTTGTTGTTGACGTAGTTGCGGCCTCGGAGGACCCATAGGTGATGGTTCTGCTTGCATTACATTTGGTGGAAGCAGCACATACTGATTATTAGGCAAAGAACTTCCATATGCGTTGTTTTCTCTAGCATGAAAACGTGGTTGATTTGTAATTGATGCCCCAGGGGATGTCGGCAATGAGAAGGTGAGCCCATGACGACTTGTCTTTGAGGATTCAGCGACACTGTCCGTAATAGAAGCACTCTTCGTCTTTTTACCAATATGGGACGGAGATGAGTTGCCGCAACTCTTCCCACTGCTGACAGAATTGGTATCCTCCAATGTGTTCATCTCGCAGGGATCACCGTAGTGGACCACATGCACAAACTGACAGCTTGGGCCGAAGCAGCACACCCCATTCTTCGCAAAGTTGGCACAGTGCTGCAGCGTAACAAGCGGCGGCTCATTGTTTAGCAGTCGCTCGTAGTGATCACGCACCACCTTCGTTACGAAGATCCACCCGCTGTCGTACTCCTCCACAGGCTTCGGGTTGTTTGGCAACGCCACGCGGAACGTGACGCCGCGTGGAAGTGTTGCCGCGGCCCACACCGGCGTCCATCGAGAGTGCAGCGTGTGGCTCAGCAGCACATTCGGTGGCGGTTGTTGCTGCTGCGGCTGCCGCGAGGTGCCGTCCTTCGCGTTCACTGCTGTCGGGCAGCCGTTCGCGTTGGTCAACACACCAAAGGCGGTGGCGTCCAGAGCGCTTTCCGTGCTGAGCCCACAGTGCACCTCACGGCAGAGAAAGCCGTTGCTGCACTTCTGGTGCTGGTTGTATTCGGTGCAGAGAAACAACTTGCTGTGTAGTTTATTCGGCCCCCAGCGAGTATAGTCGTAGAGATAGTCCAGCACACCACGCGTGAGAAAGACACGTTCGGATAGCACCGCGTACATGGTACGCATATCGTGCATGAGAAACCACAAATAAAACCCCTTCGGCAGCGTGCGTCGTGCCAATTCTTCGTCTGGTGTTTCCGAGAGCTCCTGCACAGACGGCACATCCACACACAGCCACCGCCTGTTGCGCCGCTGCTTCCTGGTCATCGCTTGGTAATAGCTACGCTTGTATATATTATACTATATTATATTATATATTAAATATAATATATATATATGTGTGTGAATATGTTTCGGTGTTTTTCAAGGATTTGGTGCGTTCGGTAAACCCAATACTGCGGAACGGCAAAAAAAGGGGGAAACCGAATGAGAAACGATCGCGAAGACTTTAGATAAGCCAAGTAAAGGAAATAAAACGAAGACACAAGAACTGGAATTGGGGAGATACTAATTCCACTGTTAACCTTTGGCCTTTAAAAATTGCACACCCAACTTTTTTTTCTTCTCACTCTATTCTTAAACGCAACGAGAGAAAAAAAAAGAAGACTTATGCAAGCAAATAAACCAGGTCACTTATCTCAACGCTTGAACTTAAGAAAAAAAAAAGGAAAAAAAAAAGAAAACAAAAAAGTACTCATTATCCATGCAATTAGTTACATACCTATAAAAAGGATAGGAAATATAATCAGTGGTATGCAAACACAGACAAGATCACATAAGAAAAAAAAAAAATGATGAGACACAAATCACATACAGAAAAAGAACAACAAAAGGAGAATTTTATTCTCCTTTTGCATTAAACTGAGAAAATAGTCACTTTGTTCACATCAATTTTCGCACCGTAAACCGCTTTGCACAAGGATGGAATAGGAGAAAGAAAAGAAAAACTGGATATGGGGGTATTTCGCCGTGTAGCCTGCGGGATCAACAACAAAACCGCAAATATAATCATCGTGTCCACGTTGAAATAGATGAAATAAATGCCGAAGTTTAGCAATGAGGACTAAAATGTCAATAGATTGTTATACCGCTTGTGATCTTGGATGGATGAAAAAAAAAAGAAATCTAAACACTGTGCAATCGAAAAATAAAATTATATTACTCTTCATATCAAGTGTATTTTTTCACGTTTTCGCCATCCAATATTCTCAGTCTTTCTCCGCGAATCCCTTGTCAAATAATTTCAGCATATGTCTGTTTATTAACAAGGCCCAAATATTCAATAAGGCGAAAACAATATAATCACCCCGTCAATATCTACTTCTGTGTCACCAAGACCACATATATATCTATATATATATATATATATATATATATATAGAGTACAAAGAGACAGGGATACGGCTCTCCTGTGTTAGCTACAAATATTTTGTGTCATCTTTCTCTTTGGTATTTCTTAAATTCTACTTTCTTCCCCCTTAAAGTCATCTACAGCCTTTTCCCTGAATTATTCATCCACTCATTCATGCATTGTCCCTTTTTTTTTTTTTGGTTCTCATGGGTTTTTTTTTTTTTTTTTTTCTGCTCCAACCTTTCCATTACTTAGGCGTCGTTGGCCACATTGAGTTCATCCTGTATATGGGTCACTTTCTTTACCACGTCCTTTCGTCTGAGGCGCCAGTCATCATCCAAATCCTGTAAATTATCCGTTCGAAATAAAATACGCATCAGTTCCTCGTAATAACCGCGACGAAGCTGGAGTGGTAATTCCTTCTGCTGGTGTTCGTGATCCTGTATTGATGACACTATATTCGACACATCTGTCTCAATCTCAACAAGCATCACCTTGTTCGTGTTGCTGTACTCACCACATGCAAAAAATAACGTGTACACACCTTCCGCATTAGGATTTAATGTTATTACCGACAAAGGTGGTCCACCATTACGAATTCCGCAGGAACTGAGACGCACATCTGAGCCGCTCAACACCTTTCCACGAAATACTATTTTGCTGCCCGCTAATCGCGGTTCTTGTGCCACAGCAAGCAGAAGAAGATCACCAATGGTGGCATCTTCCGGCAACTCCAAGATAATACTCTTGTCCAGTGCTGGGATAATACATTTGAGAGGTATCAGGGGTCCCCTAGTAGGCTCTGAAGCTTGATCAGGTGGTGTCGTATTGTTCTCTCCAGCATCATCAACGTCAACACCACTAATGTTAGAATTAACATTAAGATCATTATTGGTGCTCTCGTTATTTTCATCCCTTGGTGTCCTTGAAGGGTGCAAGGGTGTTGGTACAGAAGATGTAGCTCGTGACTTCTCAGCCTTCTGGGCTTCGCCTTCCCCAGAGTTATTTTGAGTAGGATGGAGTGCGGCAGAACCTGGTGAAGTAACGCTGTTATTTAAGGTAGTATCAGTGCTGCGGTACGGGCTTCTCATGGGTGGGGATGATTGACGGGGGATTGACTTCACCGGTTCATTAGAGCGAGTTTGTTGTTCTTTTCCTCTGGCACTCCGTGGCGTTCTTAATCCGCTAGAATGCCGGGAGTTCGATCTTGTCCGGCTGTTTTGCATCCTAGAAGATGTAGCGTACGTGGACATTGCTGTTGCTGTTTTCTGAGATTCGGTAAACAGTTGTTGATGATCTCTCTGTTGCCCCTGTTGTCTTAATTGTGAATTCCCGTCAGATGGCTGTGTATGCTGCTGAACCGTTTGTCGTTGTTGTTGTTGATGATATAGATCCTGTGGACGATTATCTCGGTAGTTCTGACGTTGTTGTTGCTGTTGCTGTTGCTGTTGTTGTGGTTGTGAAAATTGATGTTGCGGAAGACGGGTACTTTGGGTAGGACGTTGTTGCTGTTGTTGTGGTTGTTGATTACGAGCAAGACGTTGCGACTCCTGATGTGCAAACTGTTGTTGTTGTTGTTGCTGCCGCTGTTGCTGTTGTTGTTGTTGTTGCTGCCGCTGTTGCTGTTGTTGTTGTCTCTGTGCCCCATATGAACTGAGTGAAGCCTGCGGCCGTGTCTCATAGTTCATATGTCTGGAATCTGCCGGAGTTACAATAACAAGTGATCCATAGGGAAACTCCTCCACATAAGAATCATCCCCTACAACGGAGGTATTATACATGAGACGAGTAGTTGGCGGGTAGTCATACTCTTGAATGAGAAAATTACGCAATTGACCAACAGTACAACCTGATGGAACTGCTAAATCAACAGTTTCACCACGGACAGATCTGATCTGCACACGAACTTGCGTCCCACCAAACATATCACCAGAATACATTATTCAATGAACCACACACACACACACAGATCTACCACCTTATTTATTCTTCTAATACTACTATTTCTTTTTTTTCAAATAAATGGTACGCTGCAATAGCAAGTGGTATGATACACTATACAAATTATATAAATTATATACAAACAGTTTGACTCTCTCTCTCTCTCTCTCTCTCTCTTTACTCCTCTTCTTTTTTTCTCACTATATATATATATATATATATATATACGTATGTGCGTATATAAAATTAAGAGGGAAATAAACCTAAAGAGAAAAACAAGTCCAAAAAAAAAGAAAAAAAAAGAAATAAAAAAACATTATCAGACGTGGAAATCAAATCATAAGAAAGAAAAAAAAAAAAAAAAAAAAAAAAAAAAAAACTCAATAAGGAAGCAAAAACGAAAGCATTATGATGATACCCCAAAGGTGACGGCGATCGGTGGTTGTCAGGCAAGACTGCCATATGTGACGGGTTGCTGCGGGGTGCGGTATTCTTTTGCGTATCGCAGCACAACGTGCTCGAATGTATCGCTGGGGTCAAGCAGCGGTTCCACGTACGCCCGCAGCGCCGCCGCTTCCCAGCGACCGCTACGCAACGCGAAGAGACGCCGAATGCGTCGGGAGAGTTCGGCCGGCAGCGACTCGTGCGGTGCCCACACAACTGATGCTGAACCAACATTAACACTAACACCAACACTGCCGTTAGCGTTGCTGTTGAGATGGCGGGGCTCGCCAGAGACAATGACAGCGCCGTGCAGTAGCGCGAGGAGGGCCGGTGGGTTTGCGCGTGGCGGGGCGGCGCCGCACGCAAAGAAGGACGCCGGAATGCGATCGACCCAAGCGTTGTAAAAGCGCTCAAACTCAAGTGAAGGAAAGGACCGCACCTCCCCCTCCTCCGCACTATCATCTCCCCCATCATCTGTCGTTACAGCCGTCGTGTCCGCATCCGTGAGTATTGTCGCGGCGGCGAGGGCCTGCAGTACTTTCCGTGCGTTGAGGAGGGCGGCCGCTGCGGTCTCGCCCGGGGCCGGCGGATCCCGCCTCCCGAAGACCGCCCGCACGGCGTGGAGGACAACGGCGGTGTAGACGGCGGGGCACAAATGTGACTCGGCCGCCTCCCACGTGGCGCACTCGGCGCCCTCGAAGAAGAACAGCACCGCCTGCAGCGCCTCACGCAGGAGTGACGGGTCCAGCAGGCGAACACAGCCACAGTGGACAACAGCTCCGGCATCTGAAAGCATATCCGCCAACTCGCGTGCACTGCAGCGACTAAGAGCTACGAGTTCCGGAAAGGTGTAATGTCTGTGATGATTTTTGCCGCTATTTTTATTCCTGACGACTGGCGATGCTACTACAGAAGCAGCAGCAGCAGCAGTGTCCTGCAGGAAGTTTTCCTCATCTATGCTGTTGTTTACATCAGCTTCAAGTTCTTCAATAGTAATGGGATCCTTCTCTAGTAACAAGAACGCATCACGGTACGCCCGGGCGGGTCTTGCCTCAAATATACGCTCCGCTGCACATACTACTACATGCTTCTTTTTATCCTTCAACTCAGATGACCCTGCGGTACAGTTTATTGTGCGCGAGGTATGTGCAAAAGCTTCAGCTTCGCTTTCAGACATTGGATGTTCTTCAGCGAGAAGGAGCATATTAGAATATTCTACACGTCGCACACGAAATGTTTGTGTACCATTGCAAAGAAGCAGTTGATCTTTTCCTTTTATCATCAATAGCGTCCTGTCATCTTCTTGAGGATAATTAAAATCCCCGCTATTTTCCCTAAGAGAACCACTCTCCCCACTTCTCTCTAGTGTGCGTGCTGTGACCTTCTCCCTCAGCTCCTGCGCACACTGTGGGTCTACCGCCAGCAGACGATACTCGCCGTGATCCGCAAAGTCAGATCGCAGTGTCACGTACTTCATGACTGCAAAAGATTCTACAGGAATTCTTCGGCACTACGAATTAATGTACATAAACCAAGAGTAAAGAGAAAGGAAAAAAAAAGGAAAATAATGGGTGATAGAGACAGTACTGTAACGAATGCGATAGCATCTGTGTCATACAAACAATAAAGAAAACAAAGATGAAAGGTTAAGGGGGGAAAAAAGCAGCAGCAGCAGCAGCAGCAGCAGGAAGAAATAAAAAAAAAATCTTTCTAAAGCATATGTGGCTTGATAAGCACGCCCATTAGAGTTCTGTGGATGCGTCTACACTCGCATCCACAGTGTCATACGTATATACGTATGTATATATATATATATATATATATATATATAACTCTTTTTTCCTTATTTTTCCATCATCTGCATTCCTGCCCAGATTCCACAACGGTGGCATGGAGAAAAAAACAGAATACAAAAGCGAATGATTAATAATAATAATAAAAAGGAAAGTGAATGAATAAATGAATATGCAAAACAATAAGGGGGAAAAAAGGCTCCTAGTCAGCTTCAATCATCGTCTTACTCCCTTAAAACTATCTTTTTCTTTCTTTCTCTCTGAATGGGAATATACACGCCAACCTGTATTTAGGTCTATGCTTCTCTCTTCAACCTATGGGACACTAAATGAGTGATTTCCTTTCCTTCTAACTTCCTTTGAAATTATTATACTTTTTCGGTAATTAACCTCGCTCATAGACGCATCCCCAGTGTACTGCTGTTATCCCCTACTTTTCCTCTCAATCTCTGAAAGGCCAAAAACAAATACAGCCACATACACACACATACGCGTACAATGGGGTGAAAAAAAAGAGATAGATAGAACGATAAAAGGACGATAATAATGAAAAAAGAAAGAGTAAATGAGAGTCACTCATCGTATGTCCCATACAAGTTGACTATTTTTTTTTTCTCTTTTTCTTCCCATACACTTCCAAGAAAAATGAGGCAAAAATACTTTTGAATTTATTAACGATGAGAATACATCTTCGCCAGTATCACGTTATTCATTTCTTTTTTTTTTTCTATTCCATGATATTGTTGCCATTGTTTTCGCTGATAATTATGCAGAATATGTGATTTCCTTTCTTTTTGTGCGGCCCAATTTTTTGTACATTCATCTCTATTGCCTCTAATTACCGTTTTGAACCTTTATTTCGTGTTTTTACCCATATATATATATATATATATATATATGCCTGGAGTATCTCCTATTCTTGATATATTATTATTTTGATTATTATCATCACATCAGATGTAGAATACAGGAATGCGAATTAGGAAAGAATAAGATGAAAAGAGAAGAGAGAACATTACGCGTGATACAAAAACAAATGCATATATGAGCAGATATATATAAAGATAACAAAAGGAAGAAAAAAGAATGAATTGATAACTGGGCGGTAAAATAAATAAATAAATAAAACAAAAAAACACATACAGAAAAAAACAAAAAACAAAAATATCTAAAATGAGAAAAATAAAGCCTTCAGTCTCTTTATTTCTTTAAAAGATGTTAACCATTTATACCTTATATCCTGATCAATTGCAGCACCTTATTTGTTCTTCATAACTTACTCTTATCCACTCATTTGATCACTCCTGCTGCCCTGTACCAAATAAAGAAAAGAAAAGAAATCACAAAGTTAAGTTGAATAAATACAACACAAACAAATGAAAAATGAATAGCAGTAAGTGTTGCAATAAAACCAAGAACAGAAAAAAAAAAAAAAAAAAAAACCTTGACAGTGATTTCATTCCTTTCCTTCGAGCACACACCCCCGCCACGTACGCATTAAGAGAGTTATTTTCAATATCAGCAGAGTGTGCGTACACGGGTGTTGGTGGGTGTCGCCACGGAAGGCGTGTACAAAAACATAAGAATTATATCACCTCTCGGCAAAAACAAACAAACAAACAAAAAACATAATAAGGAAAAAAAAAAGAAAAAAAAAACACACACGGCACAAAAAAGAGGAGCAGCAATAAATATAAAAATGCCAGAAATAAACAAACAAAAAAAAAAAAAAAAAGAACAGAAAAAAAAAAAAACGAAACATCACTACAGGTTCACTCCATCCATCACCCTTTTGTCTCTCGCATCGTCATCTTTTCATTATTTTTTCTGTTTCATCCTGATTTTTGTTCACATATGTACTCTTTGTTTGATTGCTTTGTTTTTGTGCACGTAAGTAGTATAATTGCGGTGGAAAGTAAACATGATCAACGACCACACAGATGTACATAAACATGAAAGAATGTATGAGTATCTGTTTGTCCTGAACAATAAGTGAAGGTTATTACTGTAAAAAAAACGGTACAGAAGAAAACACAGAAAAACAAAGAAATTGAAGAGGATCATAGATTACATCCTCGAATAGAAAAGATAATTATATAAAGATTTAAAAAGAAAAAAAAAAGAAAAATCTATGAAGGAAAAAAAAACAGGGAAATAACCTTCCTCTTCCTCTTCTACTTTCTCTCTCCCCAGCCTTAAAAGAACAGTAGGATTATATTTGTGCATGGCTGCGCAGCTACAAAGAGCTAAAAAGTTATGCTAATAATAAGAAAGAGCATAGAAGAACTACTCACACTTAGTTTACACAAATACACCTGAAAATAAAAACACACGGTTAACTGTAGAGTAAAAAAAAAAAAAAAAAAAAAAAAAAAAAAAAAAACTAGAACGGATTTTATTGATTTCACCCCTCTTTTTTTTATTAATTCTTCTTCTTTATGTATATAACCTTTTTTTTTTTCACGGTTATCGTTTTTTGTATATATTTTTACGGGTTTTTCTCCAGCTTCTCGTTGTAAATGGCTATTTTCTCCCTTTTTTTGAATTCGAGTAGAGACCCCGTCAGAAAGCGGACTGGTCTCATTAACTATAATAATAATAATAATAATAATAATAATAATAATAATAATAATAATAATATAAAAAAAAAACTTGTCCAATTCACATCACCCCTTCTGCGGCATAATGAAAACGACAGTGTGTGTTCTCACCTTTACACATCCCTGTAACTATGGGTTCATACGTAAATACAAGATTATTATTTTTATTATTACTATTATTTTTATTTATTTTTTTTTTAATCCCCCTTTCCTAATCTTATTTCTACAACCACACTATTTCATCACGCCATCCGGTGAATAAAAAAAACCGTAGATGTACATTTATTTCTTTTGACTGCATTGTTAAGGTCTTTTGGTTATCTACTACTATTGCATTTAGTTCAGCTCTTCCCTCTCCAAAGATTACACTTTGGAGAAATGGTACCTTAAGAAGCTTGTTTATACACCAGGCACTATACTGTGGCTTAAAGGGAATCGTTTTTTTTTTTTTTTTCTTCCTTTTTTTTTTCATTTCTTTTTTCTACTATTTTTTTTTTTTCTTTATCAAGGCCTAGACCATTATCATGTTAATTCTTTCGGTTCTTTATCCAAGCATATCTGCTTAGGATGACCGGGGATCCTTATAAAGAGAAGCAGAATATCAGCCTCCATTCTATCCTCGTTAGAATCATATACCCTCCACAAAAACAAATCCTCTTTTCATTTGGGCATATGGGATAAACTGAAAAAAGTCGACAGTCGAATTAATATGTGATTTCCCATCTTCTTATATGTAAAGGACGAAGAAAAAGAAGTACTGCTGTTGCTTCATTACATACCTCCCAGTAACATTACCAAAATATATAACATGAACACAAAACTATATAAATAAATATATAGATATCCATCTTTTATTATTACTATTTCTAATATTTATTAACACACTGATATTTCCTCCTTATTTACTGGAATGAGGAGGCATCTCCGTAAGGATTGTGCCGTTGATAATGCGGTGAGGTTTGAGCCGGTGGGGCACCAAGTGGACGTAGCAATGGTCCTCTGAACATCCCCTCTCCTTCACTACTCATTTGTTTCATGCGGTAACTGAAAGACTGACGACTACGTGCCATACTGCCCATAGAGCCGCATCCACTGTCCGCACCCAAGAAGGAACTGCTCTGGTTTGTACCACCGTAGTGTGCATTAAGAGTGCCATTATAGTGACCGTTATTATAACTGGCCGCATTAAAGCTGTTCGCATTGAAGGATTGTGCGGCGTGGTTAATTTCCTCTGCATGACTTCCACAGAGGTGCAGTGAGTGGCTGCCACAGGGGGCTGTGAGATCACAATTGCTGTTGCGGCTGCTGCGGCCGTTATTCATGGTGTTAGCGGTGGCACTGTTGTTGTTGTGTATTCCTCCTCTTCCATTTACACGTGGGATGGGTACTGGCGTCGCGCTGATGTACTCATCCCCCTCAAGCGGTATTTCCCTGCAAATGTGGAGGAAGCCGCACTCCTCTCCGAATCTGCACAGACCGCGTCGGTGTTCCCTGCAGACGCGTCCCTTCGGCACGTTCAGCTCATTCTCCCCATGCTCGCTGTACAGCCCCCACAGGCAGTTGGTCGGGCAGAGCGAGTGGAGCCCAACGGCGGTGGGGCCGATGTTCACCGCGAGATTAAACGGCAGCCCCTCGAAGTTGCACGGCGCCCCGTGGCGGTGGCAACACGACGGCGTCTCGAGGGCCTCGCGGCGCAGCGCCTCCAACACATCGCGCTGCACGTGCACCTGAAAACACCGCGCGCCCTGCCGGCAGCGGCCCTCGAGGTACAGGCGGCAGACGCCCGGCACGAGGCCGTCGTCGAGCTGCGCGTTTGTCGGCTCCACCGCCGTGAGTGGAATGCGGAGTTTTGTGCTGAGATGATCGAGCGCCTCCACGTGCGTTGCAGCCGGCCGTGAAAAGGAACCAGACAACATCGTTCGTCCAGAAACAAATACACACACCAAATGACGTGCCTATCCACACTAACTATAGTAGAATATATATATATATCGGACAGAAACTCAAGCTATTACTTGGGTTACAAATTGGCTTCTTTCTTCCTTATGGTTTTCTTCACTATAGAGAGAAAGAACTTCTTTTCTCTTTTTTTTTTCTTTCTGTTTCTTTTGGACAATAATAATCAAAATGAAAACCTATTTTCTTTTTTTCTTTTTGATTTTTCTCAATTTTTCAGTTTGGTATCTTTTATTTCTTCTTTACTTCTCCTTTCCTAATTACTCTTTTTTTTTGTTGCGTTAGTTGTGTGTTGCTCTTGCTGTCACTGCTACAGTAAAGGCCAAAGTAACACTTGGTTAAACTAATGAAAGAAATATCACTTTCGTTCTTTTGTCGTGTATTGTACCTCCTATCAAAACAATACAACACCTTTTTTTTTCTTTTCGTCGTTTCGTTTCAAGAGCGTGTAACCCTATTTATCTCTTTTTTTTTTAATTATTACCTCCTTCACACACAGAGAGAAAATATATGTTTATTTGTGCGAGTATATAAATGTGCAAGTTTCCCTGTTGAATGAACCACTAGAAATGAGAACAAAGGGTAAAATAGAAAACTGTGTAGAGACAAGTATTTCTATGCAGATTATAATATCACCAAAGTGTTACTTTAACTATACAGTCATATTACCAATAACTTTCGTTTGTACTACTCCACACTTGTCCTACTTTAGACAAATACTACTTCTTTCTCACTGGGATATACAAAAACAAGTGGTTTTTTTTATTATTATTTCTTTCTTCCTTCTATTCTTTAGTTCATGTATCTACGTATATCTGTGTATACATAGATACAATCCTTTATGTATGCACGCTGGGCTATTTCAAGGAAAATACCATTAAAAAAAAATCATATGGATAAAAGAAAAATAAACAGTAGCAGATTTCCCCACACCCTTCTTTTTTTTTTTTCTCCACTGTTACTGTACTTATCTATACATGTCCTCATGTACGTTTGCGAAAATACACACACACACACATACATACATACAGAGAAGGACACAGACATATATATATATATATATATATATATGCTTCTTTGAAAGAGAGAGAGAAAGAGAAAGATAATTTTCTATTGACTTCTTGATCCGCACAAGAAATACCATAACAGCAGCAGCAGCTGTACAATGTCAGAAAACCATCAACATCACCTTTCTCTTTCTCTCTCTCTCTCACGGTTCTATGGGACTATATTTGTTCATCACCATGTCCATTGAACACATATACAGCCAAATAATAATAAAAACTCACAAACGATATAAATGAGCCTACAGAAAAAAAGGAAAAAAAAAAAAAAGAATACTGCTTGAGACATTATTGTAAAAGACACAAAATACATTAAACGTAGATTGGTCTTTGTGGTGCCTGTTGTGAGTTCAGCGGACCAGGTATAGAAGCCCCACGAGCCACAATATTCACAATAGCATCCTGTTCTTCGCCAATATTATTATGTACAGCAGCAATCTTCGACGCCAAAGTGAGTAACGCCTTTTGTTTTTGTTCTGTGTTCTTTGGCTTTGCCCCCATCTTCCCGCGCAGTGTGCGGTCCCACAGTGTTGCGAGTACATCCATGAGAACTGTGTGGGCCGCCACAGTGAAGCAGCACTGCACCTGCTGCTGCCGCAGTACATGCAGCGGCGGTGGTTGCAACGCAGTAGTGTTCACGTCATTCTTGCTCTTGCTCTTGTTCTTATTCTTACTATTGTTATTATCGTTGTTGTTATTTTTATGGTCAAAAGAGGCATTCACGATGGCATCCCGCATTTGTGCCATCAGCGGTACGTGGCGGCGCAGTGCAAGACAACGACTTGGAAGACTTTCACGCGGCGAAAGTGAATTCGCCCGCAGAGACCGAATTGCAATCGTGAGGGATTTAGCAGCAGCCGCATTTTGCTTGCGGCGAAAACAGCAGAAAAATCCTTTGGACGGCTCAACAAGTTTGCTTTCGGTTGCAGTATTATTATTATTATTATTATTATTATCATTATTATTATCGGGAATTAAACTACCGTGCATAACAGAGAAGGTGCCACTCTTCGCACTACTGCAAACAATCACCGCGTGACCAGCACACCACGTCAATATTTCTTCACCACCAATTCCTCCTTCTCTCGTCACTCCATCACTTACATCGTAACATGCTTCAATGTACAGTGTGTCCGTTTTGCTTCCTGCGAAGAAAATGCGGTCAGTTTCATTTTCCCCAAACGTCCACTTAAAACCACCCTTCTTTGATGGTTTCACACTTACAACAGGAACCACAACCGCACGCATCCATTCACCACTCGACTTCTTTCGCGCGCTCACAAGACAATAGCAACGAGCATCAGCAGGCACTGCCTCTGCAATTCGCAGTTTCTTGAGACTCACATCATAATGCACGTCATTCACAGTCTGTGCAGAAATAGTCTCAAATTTATCGCCACTAGCAGCAATTTTAGGCATCCAGTCAACAATACCGTGTTGTGCATATTGTTGTTTTTCTTGATATTGCTCTTCTTGCATAATCAAAAGAGCCATATCCTCCTGTCGATTTGGAATTGTGTCCCGCAAGAGAGTATCCTCACCACTACCCAAATACCGCTCCTGAATGCGATGATGTGTGGCCAAACGCTCAAGCTGTTGTATGGGTTTCAGTAGAGTTGCGAGGGCATTCTCAACAATAACAGACTTCGCATTAGGGAAAGCACTCGGGGGTGAAGAGAACAGTGCGGTAAGCAGTGGGGTGTAGAGAACATGGGAGAGTGAAGTTGGATCATTTACAGTACAGGCTTCCACAGAAAGGCATACATGAATCATTGCCTCAAGTTGTTGTAATATATACCGCGCAGTACTACGGGGTGTTCCAACCATTTTAATCACAGGAAGATTCCCCACGTAGAGATCACCACCTTCTTCATCCCAACAAACATTTACACCACCCGCACGCAGTGCACTGCTACACACATCTAACGTTACCTCATTGATTTGAGACTCCAACGGTGGTGTATTCTCTCCATTAGGAGTAGTGTTAGTAGTGGGATTCGTTAACAGACTTCGTTGTGTCACACAGACCATTGGATAGCGTGCCTTTGGAGACAAAGAATGTAAACTTAATGTAAAGTCCCCAACGTTACGGTGTGCAATGCCACATCGACGAAAAATATCTAGTGTCACATTTAGCGAAACCTCACCTGACATAAATCTATCATGTGCACAAAACATGGATCTGATACGTTGAAAAAGGCATTGATGTGCTTGGTTGTTTAACAGTGTTAATAAGGCATCATGCTGCAAAGGCAACGTAAGACTCTTTAAAATCAAAGCCCGTTCTTCTGTTGTTTCCACACCAACTGCCTTAAGAGCAAATTTAACACTCTTTTTAATAAAACATCCAGCTGGAACATCCGTTGAAATAACAAGTGGCTTATTTTTTTCTTCTTTTTCTTGAATCTCTTCTTTACCTGAACTAGTTTTGACCTTAACACTCTCTTTCTTTTTTTTCGACTTTGATTTTTCCTTCTTTCCTTCTTCAGCTGCTGCTGCTGCTGCCGCCTTCTCCTGCGCTTCTTTACGTAGCACATCAATTTGTACATCTGAAAGACGATCTACAAATTGTGCAACTGTGTCGTTCACAGAACCATAAGGTATGAGACAAGTATGGGGTAGTGCTCGAATGCGTGGAGCTTCCTCTGATGGTGCACAAAGTGTAAGCACTTCACGCACCTGCACAGACTCTGTAGCGCCTATCGCAGTTGATGAACGACTAGACCTTCCGGTGCTTGTTGTAGCCACTGTTGTGCTACCACTACGGGAGATCTCATCACTGTAACTGTGCCAACTACTCCCGTCATCCCTTATAAGCGAAGTGGTGGTAGTACTGGGGGTAGCAGTAGCAGTAGTAGTAGTTCCAGTTGAGGTTGAAGTTGAGGTTGTCAACGCCTTCGAACTCCTTATATCAGGGTACAGTGGTGGCAAATCCTTATGCAAACGGTGACTCTTTGAATATGAAGAAGAAGAACCACTTCCCGTGCGTGTGTCACTTGCCGTTAAACTCATTTCGGAATCTTCTGACTCTGTAGTAAGGGTAGAGCTATACCGATGAGGTCCAGAGCTTGTTGTATCCTTGCCGCTGTAAGAATAGGAGTAGTAAGAGTAGCTGTATGAATCTTCACCTGTGGAACGCGTTATGCTGTCTGTATACCCTTGACCTGTGCCTGAAGAAGAGTCTGTGGTAAACTCTGAACTCCTTGTTCCTGATGTTGTTGTTGTTGCTGTTGATCCTGTACCAGAAACTGTAGGTCCACTTGTGGAGTAACTATAGCTGTAGCTATAGCCATCACTGCTGTCCGTAACACTGTAAGAGCCTGTGTAACTACCACTGCCGCTGCTATCACCGGTAGAACCGGTGTAGGACTCGGTGGTGTAACTCCCACTGCTACTCTCACCAGTCGTTGCGCTATCCTGTCCAGAGTATGAAGATACTGTCACTGATGAAACTTCTTCACGTTTACCTTTATTCCCTTTATTAGGTGGAACAGTGTCTCCAGTGGGATCGGTGGGTTCATCACTGTAACTATAGCTATAGCTATAACTAGAGTTACTACCGGTATAATCTTCTTCATCTTCTTCTTCTTCTGTCCCCTCCTCTTCTTCAGTGTAGCTGTAGCTGTAGCTATAACTGCCACTATCACCGTAACTTCCAGAAGAGGTTGAAACGGATTTAGATACACCTTCCTTAGACTCCTTTGGGGGACTCTGATATCCCTCCCCAGAGGAGACATTACCTAGAGCCAGACGAGGTGCACGCGGGGGAAGCAGTTGTTGTCGTTGTTCTTTTTGTCGTTGCAGCATTGATAGTAGTTGTGGTGCTGCCCCACTCTTCTGTTTATTATCCCTTGGGGATGGGGATGTATTCTCTGTTCCTGTGCCACTCTGTGAACCTGTGTAGCTGTAGCTGTAACTATAACTGCTGTTACTGTTACTGTTACTACTACTACTATTACTGCCGCTGCTGCCAACGTATGGCTTTGTGTCACTACCAGAGGCGGTGTATGTTGTTGTTGATGTTGATCCATCTGAACTTACTGTGCGTCGGCGTGGAACAGGTGATGAGTTTCCTGCATTATTGTGCTGCTGCATTTTTTTTTTTTTTTTTCCTTTTGTTAGTTAGTTGTCTATGCCTGCTGTTACCTGCGAAAAGGGTAACTATGTTTCCTCACCTCACCCAATAATAATAATAATAATAATAATAATAATAATAATAATAATAATAATAATAATAATAATAATAATAATAAAAGAAGTAGTCAATAGATCAGGAGTCCACAAACTACCGTATATTTTCCTATCTATGAGTTTATCTTTGTTACTTCCTTTCTCCTTCTCACGTGATAATACGCGTGGGGTTTGCACTCAGCAACACCGCCCGGGAAGAGAACTATATAAAATCAAACAAAAAATAAAAAATAAAGAAATACAAACAAAAAGAATAATAATAATAAAAAAAAAAACAGAGAAAGGAGTGCCTCAAAGAGAGAGAGAGAAAGAATAGATAATATATGCACTCTTACATTGAAGTGCATTTCCACTCAGTTTCACATATTTGAAACCGTGTGTATATCAGGAATATATATATATATATATATATATATATATATGAAAGGAACAAAAAAGAAAAAAATCAATAAACACCACAAAAAAAAAAAAAAAAACGCTCAACAAATAAAGGGGGAAAAAAAGAACAAAATAAGTTTGGACATAGTTTTTCTTGTCATTTTTTCGTTTCTTTTGATCTTAAAATATCATTTTATTGTCACTTATTTCCCTTTCTCATACTTGGCTTTCTTCGCTGCTGCCGTCGAGCCTTCTTCTGTTTATATTCGATTTGTACGAAAAACAAAGTATACACACAGAGCCCGTATTGAAGTATTTGCAGACTTCTTTGTGTAATGATATTCTTTTGACTCTACTTTATTTCTTCTCTTATTCGTACAATGGTTCCTTCTTCTGCTCGACTGGGTGACAACTAAACACACTCACGGAGAATTACAAACATGTAGAAAGGTATCCAGAGAATAAAAACCTCTTCTCTTCTCTTCTTTTTTTTTTTTTTACAAAAAACTTTCCTCACCTTTTCCAATGTTTCTTGTAAATTAAGATCCTGTGTGATATACACTACATTAGACGATTGATAAATAGTATCAGTACTCGTAGTAGTGGTAAAAAAACAAACGTATGAGCAGATACTTAATGATCAAAAGAATGACAAGAGTGAAATGTTCCCTTTGGACAAGGACCGTGATTTTCTGCAGTCCCTCAGATTTTTATTTTTTATCCTTTTTTTTTTTCTTTCTCGTTTTGTTTTGTTTTTACTAACATTATAATACTTCGCTTTGTCTCTCCCTTCTATTTTTCCCTTCTGTACGAATCACTGCGCTCACGAGCCTCACATTTTTTTTTTCTTCTTTTTCTTTTTTTTGCTTTTAACTATTGTATAGAACTTCCCTGTACTGTCTACATACACACTCAGACAGAGAGAGAAAGTACACCTCCTTCAAAAGAGTCTGCCAGTGAAATATATATATATATATATATATATATATATACATAAAGAAATATACCTGTACATACGTATATAAGGACGGTGACAGAGGTCTCCCTAACTAAGGGAATATTCCATACAATTCCGTATACATGTAGTGTGGCGGCAGCAACAAGAACAGAAAAAAAAAAACACAAAAGAAATCTGATTTAAGCAACACACCCATGAAAAAAAGGAAGAAATTATATAAAGAACATATAGATGTAGGCGTGAAGAATGATCTTTTTTCTTTTTCTTTTTCATCTTCTACCTTTTGCTGTCAAATTCTTACCAATACTCATTTCTTTTTTTTTTTTTTTTTTACCTCTTTATCATTACTATTGTGTACTTTGTTTCTTGTTCTTTTTTTCTTTTTTTTTTTAATCTTCATGTGCTGGACTTTCACGTCGCAAAAATGAATCCATTCATGCAGCAAGTTAGACTAGCATCAATAACACTTTATTCACTTCCATCACGTACACGCCAATAGGGAAAGATTGGCGAATATGCCCCTAAACAATATCGTTTTTTTTTTCTTTTCTTTTTCTTTCAGGCACGCAGTAATGGAGACTCATACATCCCAGGCTATCCCTGTGTAGATGCGTGGGAAAAGATCAAAACGCACCCCACGAAAACAAAATAAAATACAACAAGAAACAAACAAAAAAAAAAAAAATGCATGCGTACACACATTTATGCGAAAGAAAGAACAGCAAAAAAGTATCAATAACCATTCCGCACTAAAAAGAAAAACAAAAAAAAAAGGACTAGTGGCACAGACCATTCATAAAAGAGTTCAATTGATGGATACACAAAAGGCTCCAAAAAGTATTTTTGACAAAGAGTGAGAGAGAGTGAAAAGGAGATAAAAAAAAAAAAAAAGCGTACATACATACATACATATTGACAAACAGAAAGAAAACAAGAATAGTTCTACTGAGACAATAGAAAAACTGCACGTCTGTGTTTTATGTACTAGTTGATTTCTCTCAATAATCCAATTTAGAAACACTTTGATTTTACTGTTGCTAATTGTTTTTTGTCCAGTATACATCAAAAGTGATCATTAGACTCATTATTCTTCTAAGAGCTTAAATGTCAATTAAGGCAATCGTTTTTTCTTTTTTTTTTTTGATTCTTTGCAGTTTTATTCATTTTCTTTTCTTTTTTTTTCATATTCTACACAGTCTGTGCATATACAAATATGTATATAGCTTTTTTTTTTATTCTTTTCATTCTCCCAGAAAAATAACGGAGTACTACCCATATAAACGCATATACCTTTTCTACTCATCTCACACTATCCACAAAGTTCATTTTCTTTTTTGTTTTTTGTTTTGTTTTTTTTCTTTAAAATACTAATCATGTTCACTTCCATTTCAATCCACTGTTCTCAATCCATCCCTGATGGAGCTTTTTTTTTTTTTTTTCTTCTTTAATGGTTAACTTGCGTTCTTCTCGTTGTTATTGCTACTGCTGATCATTTGCACCATTATTCCAAATGTGTGGGAGGACACCTTCACACCCACGCGTATACTATGGTTTGAGTATCTCTCTCTATTTCTCTCTCTCATTTTATTTCTCCTTCTCTATTGACGCCCTCTTCCTTTCCCTCTCCCTCCTCCTCTCCACCACTTTTGGTGCCATGTTTGCCTTGACTTCCTCCACAAATGTCGTCGCGACGGAGACCAGACGTTTGCCCACAAACGGGACGCTCTCAACTCTGCGGGGGACATCCACCCACTTCACAAAATCAACGGCCTTCTTCGTCAGCGTCGACTCCTGCACGTACACCACAGCCGACTTCACCCGCTTCACTTTGCACAACTCCACCACGAGGAGGTTGAGGACAAAAAGTACAAAAGCGACAAACTGCGCTGCCACGGAAACAAGAAGATGCGGGTCGCGGGTCTTCAATGCATTCGTGCTGCTTGTCCGGAGCTCCTCAAAACGCGGACGTGAGGTGTTCACAACGTTCGTAAGAGACGTCTGCACCGCGGCACGTGTTTCCTCAATTCGCTTCGTGGAAGTTTCTGCGAGTGTGCGGGCGTTATCAACGAGTGGCTCAACTGTATTCTTTGCAGTTTCACGGGCCTCTTGCAGCACTCGTTTCCCATTCTCCACATACTCGTCTGCCACTGCCCGCACGCGGGCTGCACTTTGAATAGCTCCATCGAGTTGTTCACGTCCGGCCTGCGCGAGTTCTCCCGCACGCTCGCGTCCCGCTTCTGCGCGTTCCAATACGCGTTGCTTCGCTGAAGTGACGGCATTGCGGCCCGTCTCGACGCATTGATTCACTTGATCAACAATGGTGGTGTGATTACCGTTCCTCTCTGGCGCGTTCATAGTGTTATTTTGTGGTAGTAGTGGTTAATATGTCGTGGGTAGTATGTGAGTTGGTTGACTCTAGTGGGATCTCTTTGGTACGGGCACCAGGGTAATATGATTGCATAGAGAGAAAGAGAAAAAAAAAGGGAAAAATAATATAAAGAGTAAAAGCAAAAATAAAAAAAGCAAGACACAACTGCAGGAATAAGGGAAGAAAAAAAAAAAAATGGATTTTTTGGTAGAAGAAACATATGTTGCTTAATCGAAAAAAAAGTAAAGGGATTTCCTTGATTTTATGTCTTATTTACTGGACTTACTTACACAAAAAAACTCTCATATTTGGCCACGCTTGGCCTTATCGTTGAATTCACACACACACACACACATGCACAGAAACATACCTATTTATTAACTGAATCTCCATATGTGTGTGTGTTTTTTTTTTCTTTTTTTTTTTGTTTTCTTTATCATTTCCTCACACATTTTCTCTTTTCACGACTTGGCCTCCAACATCAACTAAATGAAAATGCATGAGAACACACACACACACACACACAAACACACGCATAAAAAAAAAAAAAAAAAAGAAACAAACAAACCTACTCCTCCGCAGCATCTGCTGCTGCCGCTGCTTCTGCCAGCTTTTGCTCACGCCAGCGCTGGAATGCCTTCTCGCGATGTTCATGGAGACGGCGCTTGCGCTCACGATTCTTTGCAATACGTTCCTGTTTCGCCATGGCGATGCGCTTACGCTTTTCTTCCTTTTCTTCTTTAGTGAGAGTCTGAGAACGTTCCACACGCAGCAACTGTCGTTTGAGGCGATCATCAATTTTCATAGACTCACGTCTACGTCGTTTCAAAGCCCGTTCGGCGTCTGTCAAGTCTCCATTGCGGTGTGCCACGAGTGCCTTGATAATCTTTGCACGCACCCGACGTGCGCGTTTGTAGAAGGCGGCCTTTTCTTTACTGCCTCGTTTTTCGTATTGTTGCTGCAGCACCTTGACAGGAACGGGGGCCTTTGTCTGTCGTGCGCGGGGAGTGATGCCGAGGAGCCGCTCCATGCAGGCGAGGAGACGAATAGACGCGGCGGACATCTGCAGCGTGTCGTCATTCACGGCCTCCTCCACAATAGCGGCAAACCACGCGGGCTCCATCTGCTGCACGCGGCCTCTGTACTTCAGCACCATCATCGCGCAGTGGAGATAATCGTACAGCAATGTGTACTTCATCCCATACACCGCGTGCAACGAGGTGGACTGCAGAAAGGCCGCGATGTGCGCACCGGCCAGAGACCGCAGCGCCGCACCGACACCGGAGAGTCGCGGCAACATCGCCTCCACAACATGACAACAACAACTGAACACTCGCACACGCTGCGGTCCTTCGAGCGCCTCCACTTCAGAGAACTTCTCACATACAGCCGGCAATAGGGCCCAGGCATAACCGTGACGGTAGTGCTGCATATCACGCTTAATACCTAATAGGCGTTTCTTGTGATCCCAGCCACGATCGCAGAAGATTGACTTGTAAAATTCCATAAGAGTTACACGTACATCTTCACCAGCGTGATTCTTATATGCAAGGAAGGCTACAAAGTGAAACACACGTAGGGCAACATCCTTTAATTGAGCCATTCGACGACGCACAACAACGGCATGACGTACAGATTGACTTTCCTTTTTCACCAAAACATGTTCAGCTTTGCGGCAGAAACTCTGAATATCAGAGAGCAGTTGAAAAAGATCTTCTGCAACGAGGAAACGACCAAAGTAGCGATTCTTCGTCATCATGAGTAACTGAATAGATGAGACAGTGCTGTTGAAGATGACGTCATCAGGTGACTTGACGTTTTCACGACAAACAGCTAAAAGAACTTGAAAGATGTGTACCAGAAGTGGAGAACGCATAGAAGCTCCCACACGAGCAGCAATCTGAATAGCACGTACAACATCAATCTTTTCTTTATTAGCGGTATCTACAGGGTACACAAATTGCAAATCTACATTACCAACCATACCCTTAAGCGCATCAATGTATTGCTGTGTTGGTGCTTCTTCCTCGTCATCGTTATCATCATCATCATCATCATCAAAATCATCTTCCTTTTCCTTATTATCTTCATTATCATTATCACTATTAACGCTATCATCATCACCATCATTATCATCATTAAGTTCATCTTCAACTTCTGTCTCTGTATCGTCGTCATCGTTTTCAGTGGATTCAGTACTCGTTGAACTGGTGCTATCATCATCATCATCACTACTGTCAGCCTCACCTTCAGAATTAGATTTGGCAGCGTCGCTTTCTTCATTATCATCATCATCTTCTCTCCTGAGATCAGCATCAGCATCATCATCATCATCATCATCGCTACCAGAACTGTCATTATCATCCGTCTTCTCTCCCCTTGCTTTTGCTTGCCGTGCCTTTTCACGATCATCCGTGTGGTACGCTTCTCGAAGTGGTGCAAGCAGAAGGTTAAGTGTTACACGCTCTTTAATGTAACGGGCAAATTTTAGCATAAAACCAGTAGCAATGCGACGAATGCATGTCATTAAAGGCATGACGTGAATGGGCGTTGATGGACGCATCGCAAGTGCCATTAACACATCATAGAAGAGGTCAAGTGTCTCAAGTGTACCAGTTAGGAAAAATTGGCATAAATCAGGTACGGTTGAAACAGCTAACGTTTTCGCTTCTTCATTCGTAGGATCATCTGTACTTAGTACAAGGAAGAGTAATACAAGCAAGACATGCATATCTCGTTCCGCGTAAAAGAGAACACTACGCTTCGCAGAGTTTTCCAACGCTTCCACAATACGATTACGTGCTTTACGAAAACTGCTATGAGTCGCACCTGTGGTATACCGTGTCTGTTCCTTACTCTCTGCTTCAAGATAAGATTGAATGATGCTTAATGGACTCAACGTACACTTTGGTCGTGATAACCCTGCGGTATATGTAAAAGAGAAAACGTCGGCAAAAAGAAAAATAGCACGATTCATATTTTTTTCATCACGATGAGGTGGATTTGGAAAGAAACCAAATTCCAAAAGTGATCGTGCGGCATCATCCACATATGTGCACTTTACTCCTTCTCGTAGTGGAACACAAAGACAGGAACGTAATTCACGCAATACCCACGTACGATTAACAAAGGCCGATGGATCAGAAGAGCGAATAGCACGATACTGATAGATGAGATCACGTACTTTAGCATCAAGACCTTCCAACGGCATTCTTCGCAGTTCTGCCACATCAGTGGGTTTAGCGATGGTTCGACGACCGTAACCTACAGTTTTACTGGCAATTTGAAGCATTTCAGCCCGTTGCTCCGCATCATCATTCTGTACAGCCAATTGTCCAAGACGAGAGACGAGTTGTTGAAAAAGTGCACGTCTTGGGGCATCCGCATTACCACGTCTATAGGGCGCAATCGCATTATGCATCATAGTGCTAAGATGCTCCTTCATGGACTCACCAGCAGCACATCGTTGAAGGACAATATTAAACCAATCCTCCCAAACAGGATGGACCATGGGATGTACGGCTGTCACTTGCTCTTTTCGAAATAGTGCATTTGCCAATTGTTCCACTGCAGATGGTTGTAAAGGATCCATGGCGGCATACTTTAAAACAGTGGGAGGAAGATATTTTTTTAAAGCTTTCGGGGTTTCTTCTTCTTCCCTTGTCATGATACGAAGTAGCAATTGTACACCTTCTGGTCGGAAGTACTCCAATTTTGGATAAAGAAAGAATGCATATGATAACCACTCCAAGACAATTTTATCTTCCCAAAGTGTGGGAAATTTCTCTAACACCTTAAATAAGATGTTTGATGAAAAAACTCGAGTAGCCTTTTGTTCAATGTAAGTGAAACACAAGTATTGAACAAGACGGTGAGCATCTTCCAATTTCATCTTCTGACAATTAGCAACCACAGTGCTCATAGCAAAAACGGCTGCAATCATACGTTGATTACGTTCTCCTTTAGTTGGATCATTAATTTTATCTGGATCAATATCATCCCATTCACCATCTTGATGTGGTACTTCTCCCTTAGCAATTCGTGCCTCTAAACGGGCTTTAGCTGCTTTAACACGAATATCCAACGCTAACTCTTCGCCCAGAAGTGAAAGTACAACAGCAGGGGTAAGAGCTGTATCACGTAAAGTAAGGAAAAGGGCATGTGCGTGCAAAACAATCATTGCTAAATCTTCTGTAGCCATACCAAGAATAAGTCGTGAAAGTGCATAAGGAACGGCATGGTGTGAGGTATCACGAAGGGCTTGTAAAGAATGACAATCCACATCACCATCCAATTTCGCTTTAAGATGATTAAGAAAGGCATGTTGACCTTCCTTTCGACGTGATGAATTATGTCGTAAACACATTTGAAGTAATGCCCGAATGTGTCCCCGCTCTTTTACAGTATTAGATAACGTCATTCGAGCCCCACTCATCTTAGCATGACGTCTCTCTCCTCCACGTCCATCATGGTTTTCCCCTTCTTGTCCTTTGTGATGATTATTATTATTATTATTTTGTTCTTCTTCCTCCTCCACATCTTCTTCTTCTTCCTCTTCGGCATCCACTCCACCGTCTGCAGTGGATGATTTCTTCCACCCACCGTGTTTGTTAGCGTGACCGCCGTGTCCTTTCCCCTTGTTGGCCTCATAGCACGCCCACTCATACCATGCAATGAAGGCATGCACAACATTTGGGGCTCCCCGCTCAAACTTACTTAAATACGTGCGGAATGGTCGAACCTCCTCAGGGAGATGCTGCTGTACAAACGGCGGTGGGACAAACTTAAAAAAATGACCAAGTTCAGGGCCGAAAAGGTCTGTAACGTTTAGTTTCGACTTAAAATTCGCCAAATCCACACGTAGCTCTGATGAAACTTTAGCAGCCAAATGAATATCAATATCTTTTGTTCGCGCAGACTTTGGTTGATGACGTCCATCATTATTGTTTCTACTCTTAAAAGAAGAGCTCGCAGAATGGCTATGGTCAGCACCTCCACGTTGCCGCACCATTTTTTGTTCTCTGGCATATTTCTCTTTATGGTACTTTGTTTTCTCCTTCTTAATGCTGTTTGTTTTTCCCTTTTTAGAAGAGACGGTCCGCTTGTTGTGACGCTTGTCTCCCACAGAGCTCCCCCTGCGCAGAGTTGGTGGCGGCATTACACAAACGTTTCTCTTCACCTAATGTGGTTTACTAAGATACACACATATACCAATATATAAATAAATAAATATAATTAAAGAGAGAGAGAGAGAGAGAGAGGTGGGAAAAATGCAGGATATATAAAAAATAAAGAAAGAAGTACCAGAAATTGTCCTTTTGTTCTTCTTCTGAAGAGGGGAATGGGTAAAATGTCCAATAATAACAGGAGCAACATCAAATTTAAGAATTCTATTATGAGTATCACGGGACGGTAAAAATAAAAAACAGAAATGATACAGGCAAACAACCAAAATTAGACACTATTCTCTACACGGTGTGTAAAATCCACCGAAACACATTACCAGCAGAATTACAATTGTAGGAAAATATTTAACTATAGACATTTTAATGTTATAACAATACAAAATCGCTTCAGAGAAAAAAAACAAAAGAAAGAAAGGTAGGAATAAGTAGTTGCTTCTTGCTTCGTTTCCTTTTTAATATATAAACATATATATTATATCTGATCTACAACAGATAAAAGGAAAACATTTGAAGGAAATCAAAAGAAGAAAGAGGAAACTCCAGAGTGATATCTGGGAAAATATTCGACCACAGTATCAAGAGTATCAAAAAAAAAATAAGAAAATAATAAATAATAAATAATAATAATAATAATAATAATAATAATAATAATAATAATAATAATTACAGGAACTCAAACAAAACAAAAAGAGCAATAGAAGAAAAATAAGACACAAAAAAAAGTTTAACGCATTAGCGTGGTTCTGGGCCATATGCTTGTACAAGCGTCATTAAAAGTCTATCTTCACATCCTTTATGCTGCCGCAATAATTCATCTAGAGAAGCGAGGGTGGATGGATTGTAGTGGAGTAACATAGATGCCACTCGTTGTTCATAGCTTTGTCCCCCGCCCTTCTGTCTCTCTGGTGATTGCTGTAATGGTTGATTTTCAAACACTATTGTTTTCCTCACAGGATCAATAATCCCCATATAAAGAAGAATAACTTCATGAAGTGAGAGCTTCACATTCCTACCAGACATCACAGAGCTCTCATATACCAATGGCATACTTCTACGGAATTGTGCTGATCTGTTAATGACAATTGGTAAAATCATCTGCCACTCAGACTGTGTAAATTCACGCACTAATATTTGTTCACCAAGACATTTGCATTGTTCTTCATTAAATAAACCAGTTTTTTCAACATCTATGATATGTGCATACATTAACAAAGCATCATAATCCTTCTTATTCATTTTATACGAAGTCTCTGGATCTCGACGTACCAATGGAATCCATAAGCAAAGCACATGAAATGGTATACTTCCATTATCTGCTGACTGCATTGCCATGTTAAATAACTCCATCACATCATTAGGATGACTTGGTAAATTCATATATCGAAGAAGTCGACAAGCATCACTCCAATATAATTCTATATGATCGTTTTTAGGATTATAAGATGCAAAATCCGGCCATTTATCCGCTAAAAAATTAAATTCCTTCTCTGTTAAACCATAATCACTTGATGTACATGAAATAGACTCTTTCCACTTAGACACACGTCTTTTATGAGTAAAGGGTGAAGAAGTACCTCTTAAGTTATTAGGAACATAGCTTGGAAAAGTACCACTAGAAGATTCAACTAGAAGTTGAGATGATGATGGTGATGTTTTTAAATCATTTTTATGATTAGTAGTATTATTATCATCATTTGTACCGCGTGGTTTCTCCAAGAAATACTCCGCTACTGTATGGCTACTTTTCACACTATCGCTTAATATAGAAGGTGCCATTCCATTTGGTTTAGATGAGCACTTTAGGTGGATCTCTACAAACTCCCTGTACGTTCCCATCCAACCACATGCACTACACTTTCCTTTTATACATTTCTGCAATTCCAGTAGCGCTGCATTTGGGGCTCGTGTGCGCTCAATTGCCGTACAACACTCCGGACACTCGTGAAGAGTTTCCACACATTTCTTACAGTAAATATGACGACAGGGAATCAACTCCAGCGCATCTTTCCACTGGCACAGACAAATACCACACTCACCGTAGTTGTTCTCCGCCTCAAAGTAGCGACCTGCAATACTCATGAACTGCAAACGTTTCTCTTTTTCCTAATGTGCTGTTACAATAAGAAAATAAAGGAAAAAGAAAAAGAAAGAAAGATTTACGTAGAGCAACAACCAATAGAAGGCAAAAAAAAGAAAAAAAAAAACAGTACTGGCTAACTATATTCTCTCAAAGAGAGAAAAAAAAAAAATGATATGCATAAAGATCACAAGACACACCCTATGAAGCAAGGCAGACACTCTGTTTTCCGCCATTAATACGCCCGGAAAAAAAAAGGAAATAACAAAAGGGAAAGGAATATTCATTATTACTGTTATTATTATTACTACTAGCAATAGTAGTAATAGGAGTACGTTAAATTAATTAAAAAAAAAAAAAAACTCTGTAATCTGCTTTCTGTAAAAACATCAAGATAGACATTGACTTTAGGCACACTGGGATGGATCCTCTGCAGTTTCATTTACTTCTTGCGTGTTGCTTGCAGAGACATTCTTTGCCAGTTCCTCATCTGCATTCGGCGATGCCTCAATTACGGCAGCATCGCCCTCTTCACATCCCGTTGAGTCTCGCGCAGTGCCCTCCAGCCGGCGGCGCTTATTGGCGGCCGCAGTGTCATCACTCTCATCCTCATCCTTCGGCGGTGTTTGTTCCTTTTCCTCCTCTTTTTCCTCGGCGGCTTCTTCTACCGCTTTGGATGAAATCTCAGTGTCAAGCGGCGAGACGTCCGCATCTTCTGCGGGGTTTGCCGGCACTTCTGTGGTCTCCACAACGTTGCTGCGATCAGCGGACTCACACGCCTCTTTTTGTGGGGCCTCCACTTCACACGTGTTGGTCTCCGCCGTGTGGATGGGCATCTCCTGAGTCTCGTTGATGGTTGGCTGCGACATTGGTGGAATGGGAGTGAAAGACTGATTCTATATACAGAATAATAATAATAATAATAATAATAATAATAATAATAAGAAAAGAAGAAAACGAAATGGAAATGGAATGAGCATAGAGAATAGAATGTGTGCATGTTTTACGAAGAAAAGAAATATATATATATATTGTGAAAAAGAAAAGTTAAGCGCAAAGAAAAAAAAAAAAAAACCCTGGTACAACCAAACAATAATAACAATAATAATAATAATAATAATAATAATTATTATTATTATTACTATTATTATTAAAGAAAAATAAATAATAATAATAATAATAATAATAATAAAAACCACAGACACATACACACAAAATATGAACACGAATATATCCGATTAAATAAAACCTTTAACGGAGGAAAAGTGACACAGACAACTGATAAGTTTGAGCAGCATTCACATCCGCTTCCGTAATTCTATAATCTGTGTTTTCACCTCCATTGCCCAATGTGGACTTCCACTCAGAAACAGCTCGAGTACACATCTCTGAACAATGTACCACAGTTGCTGGTTGTACATGCTCCATCATGAGCAGAAAACGAGTAAATGCCGTAATGTATGCTGTTGACTGAGAAGTTTCATTATGCATTGCAGTATTTCTGTTATTATTGTAGTCACAATCCTCAACATTATCCCATCGTTTTTCCGTTTTTTCCTTCACCTCTAATATGATGACTGCACGGAGAGCAGCAAGAAGAAATTGTAAAGAAGCTGAAATAAGTCGTTCTCGTAATGTACATGCGGCACTAGTAATGCGATGAGATTTTATTTGCATTTCTCTATTCTTATGATAACGTAGTTGTACCCACTCATCACACGTACTGCAGGTGGTACCTTCCTGTTCTTCCAAATACAACCATCGTACACTCTCAGAAGGTTCACAACAATTAAATACACGACTATTATCTTCTATAGATGTTAGCGGCACACCCATCACCTGCTGCAGTTGAGCTTCAATATCAGCCATGCGTAAATAGGAAACCGCTAAAAGCCACCAAGAACGGTGTTTGGGCACTACTGCAATATTATCTTCAGAAGGAAGTACTGCTACGTATAATGAATGTATATGCTCCAAAGCTGCTAAACTCTCACTAGATAAGAAAGAATATAATCGGTAATCTTCAACTTGAGGAGGAATAGAGGATAGTGTCATTTTCCATTCTTCTACAGTTTCACTAACTATCTGTTTGGAATAATCAAAGAAACGTTGCATCGAAGCTGTGTAGTTTACAGAGGGAGATAATGCCCTAATATAAGAATAAACCTCTTCAAGTCCCAACACAAAAGCCTGCGTAAAAATAGCATCCATGTGAGAAGCCATAGCATCTTTATTATTATTATTATTATTATTATTATTATTATTATTATTATTAGACACTGTATGATTTTCAAAATCATCTCCTCTAGTTCCAATACACTGAAGCTTATAGGCATATCTTAAAGAAGCCGTTGCGGGTGGAATTTGTATTTGTGAGTATAATGTAGAACTCATACCTGCTTGAAGTTCAAAGGTGTATGCAGCAATATGAAATAAAGTCATTTGTATATACGGTACACTCGCCTCCGATGGTAAGAGTGCACATGTTGCGTGATCATTACACATATAAAGAGTCTCTGAGACTATCTTCAACAATAGAGAGAGATCCACCGAGAGTTTATCAGCAGCAATTGTTTTGCCAAAATAATGATGAACAACGAAAAATAAACGCACCACACACAACTGAGAAAGTAAACGAATAAGTTTTAACATCAGGCTGGCATGTCGAAATATCATAGGGAGATGATGTACAATATCATAAAGAATAATGCATATCTCCGCTGGAATTGTCATCTCATCTTTGTAGTTATTATCATGCTGGTGGTTCTTCTTCTTCTTCAAATTATTGGTACTTCTATCATCGCTAGTAATATCTTTTTTATCTACTTCATCTAATAATATCATTGAAGATAGTGATAAGAATGTATCCCGTTGACTCCATAATTTAATAGATTCCGCAAGACCTGGAAAACGTGTCATCCAGTGTTTAAGTAAAAATATATAAATGTCAATAATAATATCTGTTATTTTTTGGGCAAAGGCTCTATTTAACGTATCTTCTGGATTCATTTCAAGTAAAACTTGAGTGACCCAATAGATTTCATCTACTTCCTTTAAAAAGATAGTTTTTGGAATAAAAACTGCACATGTTGTTAATTCCACTAATAACCATATCCAACCATCATGCGAAGAAAGACTCGTTGTAGAAGATGGGACCATGTGTAATACAGGAAGATGAATACTTTCAATAGGAATTGCAGAAACTTCTAATTGCCATAGTTGTTGTTCCGCATTATATGCAATTAAGGAAATATAGTCTCTAAAGACGCCAATTAACTCTTCTTTAAGATCAGAATACTTTTGCCAGAGTATTAATAACTGTTCTTCTTTTTCTTTTTCTTCTTTTTCTTTCATTTGGGCATTAACATTTGAATAAACTGATTTCTGTAGAGAATCCTGCAGTAATATGAGATCATTTCCCACAGAGCGAAAAAGTGTTAACGTGCAAAATAACAAATTCACCAAAGTAGTGGAGATCCCACGTTCTGAGGAACCGAAATCAGAACTGGCATGAATGCGTTGGAGAATATAAAGTACATGAGATAGAGGCATAGGAATTAACAAACGAAGTACTTGAACTCTTTCTGTAATATTAAAAATATTCAGACGTTGTTCCTCTTTTCCCTTCTCTTGTTCTCTATGGTAGGCCTGAACGATGGCTGTCGTTATTGTTTCAGCAGCATTTTTAATGGCATCAATAGATTGACGTCCAGCAGCCATTAAAAGACAATCCACCGCATGAGCCACCACCTCAGGTGCCATTAATAGTGGAAGCAACGAACTCATTCGAATATGTGATATATATATATATATATTTATTTATTTATTTACTTATTTTAAATATGTATGAGAAATTCAAATTTATGCCAACATAAAAAAGTACGACTCTTCACATGATCCAGTGTATATACAATTCGATAATCATCAGCACCAGAAGAAATTTAAAAAGAGAAAAAAAATAAGAGAAGAACAAAAAAAATTTTTTTTTTGTTTGAATGGTCTGAAGAAGAGTATATACAAAAATCCACAAAAAAAAAAAAAAACACTTTTCTGTACCCAACATTATATGAACATTCAAAAACAAAGAAAAAAAAAAAGAGTAGATTCCCCACCTACTCTCTTCTTTGGGTTTAATAATAACAACAACAAGAGAATAGAAACCAAACAAGTAGGGCAAAATAAACAAATATATATTATAAAAATCCAACAATATCGCCAACAAGCAAAACCAAAAACTCTCTCACTCTCCCTTTGTTCTCAACATCATAGACACATCCTCCAGTTCCCTCAGCAGTTGATACAACTCCGCTTGAGATAAACGCAACGCCACAGTCTTTTTCTCCACTTTCCCAAACTCCTGCGTTGGGGTTGTTCTCTCTACCGCAGCAGTAGAAATATGCATAGATGTTTCTTCCTGGTGAACTAATTTCTGTGGGAGTGCCTCTAATACAAGTTTTAGAGTGGCAGTTGGTACGCCAACACCCTCATTCCTCTTTGAGGCGGCAACAACGGAAAGAAATACTTCCGCATCTAAAAGTTTGTACGTCATTTTTTATTTTTTATTTTTTTTTTTGTTTTCTTTCTCTTGACTTCTACTTTGGCTTCACCACTATGGCGTCCACTACGTTAACGCCCACTGTTGACCTTTTTTCTTTCTTTTCTTTTTTTTATCCGTTTTTTTTTTTTTTTTTTTTTTTTTTTGCTGAGAAGCCTGGTAAAGTGATTAGCAATAAGGGAATAAAAAAAGAAAAAAAAAAGAAGAAAAAATTCAGATGAGACAAACATCTCCCCTTTTTTGAAGCAAACAGTTTTTTTTTTTTTTAATGCAATTGTGTTTCTCTTGCGTTATTATTTCTTTTTTTTTTTTCGTTCTTTAAAAGATTCTCTTCAAGATGAAACGGCATCGAGAACTCGTCGAAAAAAAGCTACACAGACGATATCATATGCACAAGAAAATGATCGTCAGAAAGCCTCGTTGCAATAATTTCAATGCCCTTCCCACCCTTTTCTCGCATAGATACACACACACACGCACTCGATGATCGTGTTTTTAGAAAAATCAAATGAGGTGGAAATATGAAGTATATATATATATAGATACATATATATATATATATATATATATATAAGTAGATAGAGACAATGTGAGAAGGAATGAGAAAAAAAAAGAGAAAATGTAGACGAAAAATGTACATCTATTCCTTCCATTCTTCTTACATTTTCCCTTTCACTGCTACATTTTATACAATAGAATGCAATAAAAGTTCCCTTCTTCAGTATAAAATACGAAATGGGATGTTTACAGAAGAGAACAACAGCAACAATCGTACAAATTTCTCTCCCCCTTCACACTAACATCCCTTCTACCCCCTCTCACACAAATACGCACAATATATCTCCTCTAACTCTTTTCTTTTTTTTTCTCAGATTCCCTCCTTTTTTTTTCTTTTTCTCTTCGTCACCCTTTTCGTTGTTTCAACCTTCTAAACAAGAAAAAAAAAAAAAAATCCACATTACAGTTGATGTGTGTGTGGCAATAAAAGAAATGAAAGCAGTAGTAGAAGAAAGAACAGTAAATGAATGCATGTGCAGACGCACACATTGCAGCATACCTTCATTTACACATCATCACTACCACTTTCTCTAACTCTTACACTCCAAAGATATATACACAGACGCGCCTATTCTTATTAACACATCATTATTCGTGGGAAGGAGTACATGATACTTCACTGATGCTTGCTCGGTTTTTCTTTGATTTCGCATATGTGTTTTTTTCTCCTTGTTTTTTTTTTTTTCTTCTGATGTGTTCTTTTGCGTTTTCTTTTTCTTTTTTTCCTTTTTTGACATTCTTTTTTCTTTTCTTTTTTCTCAGCTTTGCACTCCTTTTCACCCCTTCCATTTCTCTCTCTTTCTCTCTCCTTTCCTTCGATTGATTGGTACGTTCCTAATTCCTCTTTTCACTCGTTTCAGCGTCAAAGAAGATTCATTCTCATATTCACCAATCCATCATCAGCAGCAGCAGTAGCAGCACTGACATCGTTTTATCAATGCATGGCAAGAAGGAGAATATCATTCAGTCCTAATTCTTTTTCTTTGGAGAGGATGAGGCATTGCGTTGCAACACCGTCTCTCTGTACACTTGGTGTTCCCTGGCGATGTAATCTGGATCGTATCCCTCTCCGTTTGTACCCACTTCCACACGCCGACGACCTTTGCTGCCGCCATTACGCATTCCCTTGAGTACCGCCACAAGACCGAGCTTTGACGCCACAAAGTAAGCTACTCCACCGAATAGTGCAAGTAGAGTGATGTATGTGAGGATTGTTTTGGGGTCTGTGGTGAGGGACTCATCAACCGACACCGTGCCGTTGAAGGCGGTGACGAAGAAGGTGTTGTTTGTGATATTGTCGTGGCAGTAAAGTCCGAGAACGAGGTTGTAGTCATTCGGCTCCAACATGGCATCTGGGGTGAACCTATATTGAAAACTCACTGTCTCTGCTGGGTCCACCGGGCGTGCGTGGCGCACAATCGAGAAGTTCTGAATAACATCCCCGTAGGCGTTGTGTGGGGAGAGATAGCCGGCGATGAGGACGACGGTGTGGCGGTGGCCGGCCTGCTGGTGGCGGTAGGCGAGAAGGGCGTCGGTGGGGGTGCCGGCGGGGAGCGTCGGGTTGACAACGCCCGCGCTGTTGGGAAATATCGCCCGCGCCATCACCGCCCCGTCGTCGGACTCGTCGCCGCCGTAAACATCATCGCCGTCGTTCTCGGCGGGGGGATTCGTCTCCGCCTCCTCCGCCGCGTGAGTGGTGCCGGGCAGCCACGCACACAATACGAGCAGGAGGGCGAGGAATAAGAGCCACGATGTCTGGCGTGAGGACCGCATTCCTTCTGGTGATTGGGGTTCTTTGGATTAAAGGGAGTCTTTTTTTAACACTATCCTCGCGTCAGAGAGAGAGAGACGGGGGATTATGGGTTTGTGTATATGGGGTTGTTTGTGTAGTTTTCCTTTGGTATTCTCTTCTACTCCTGGAGAAAACAAAATAAAAAGATTAAGATAGAAAAAATAAAAAAAAAAAAAAACAAAAAAAAAAGAAAGAAAATCTATTGTATTAGACAGCATCGCATACCATTTTTTTTTTTTTTTATTACAGATGCAATAATAAGAGATTTGTTTGGGCAGCGAGCTGTCACAAGTCTCTCACTTCATCAGCTGTTGCTGCTACTTCTCCCAAGTAGTTCATGTGTATCATCTCTTTTTGTTGTTTTTTTCTTTCTTTCATTTTAGTTGGAGAACAACGTATTGAAGAAAGGGTGTGGTACCAGACCTCCTGTCTTGTGTATTTGCAATGTAAACTGCATACACACTCGCACTTGCAGAAAGAAGCCAATCACCCAAGTGAGAAACGAAAGAGTCCTTACTCTTTTCTTTTCCTTACCACTTGCTTCTTTTTTTTTTTTTCCCCCCCCCCCTCACCCCCTCTTATCTGTCCTTTATTCGTTTACAGTTTCAATCTCCCTCCTCCACCACTTTCTCCACGTTCGATTGTGTTGGCAATGATGCTATTTGTTTCCAGGTAACGCCAGACACAACGATCGGCGCAGCGAACCTCGTCCATGGAGAGTTCATTCGTGCTGAGGTTAGTACAGCAGAGATTAAAACACTCCGTCTGGAGACGGCTGAGGAGCACTTCAATGCGGAAGGACTCCTGTTTCACCGCCAACTGCATCTCTTCGGTATTTCAGTGATTATGAATTTGTATTTAATCTTACTTAGGATTATTGCCCGTCCCTGATGTTGTCAAAACCAACCAATACTCTACTTTGGAGAGAGAAAGATGGATGAGAAATAGGAAAAAAAAGTATAGTAGAGATGTTTAGAAACAAATGAAAAGAGTTTCAACACATACAAAAGGTCAAAAATTATTTTTTCTTTAAGCTTTTCATTCACAAACAGACACACACATACACAGAAACCGGTATCTAGAGAATTGATAGAAAACGTAATGACATGTACTAACAGAACAACAATCGCCTTCTCTTTCTTTTTGTTGTTCTTGTTCAATCAACTTTCCTTACCGCAAACATTCACATATATATTTGAACAAATAAAGAAAGAGCAGATATTATCTGTCTTACCAACTATTGTTTATCTCTCCCACCGGAATGTTTCTGTTACGGCTAACATTATGTGTCCTTTTCATTTTTTTTTTTTTTTTTTTTTTCCATGTTTCCTGCTATATTCTCCTTTTCCTTC